ACTTCTGATTTCTAAACGGAAGTGAACAACGAACGACTGAAACCAGTGAAGGTGTTGGAAACAGTCTTTTGGACGAGTTCAATCTATGAAAAGCATAATTTTCGCTTTCTAGACATATGACAGATCATGGACCCCCCATAGAACAGATTTCGTTGGCTTTGCGAGGCTCCGTTACCATAAGTGCGACATAATACCTCTATCCACAGCGCAATTTCCGCTCACTAGACAAATGAGTACTCATTTCGCAGAGGATTGATGAAGTGCATCTTGTTAGTATAATATGTATACATGTATAGATAAAATAAAATAAAATAAATAGTTATAAGTTGATGCGAAACTTTTAGGACACTTGGGCGTACGTCTCAGATTATTCCATAATTTTGTTGGAACTCCCGCTCATCGAACCATTCAATCACCATTATTATCTACGACATTCATGCGAAAAGAGGGCTAGCCGGCTAACTAGTCCTAGAAAGAAGAGACGATAAGTCAAAGAAATTATTCATAGTATTTTCGAGGCCACCGAATTAAGCAGCTTCTTCTTGACCGGGACTGCTCGAGATGATAGTTAGAAGAACCGGGTTGAGGGGTATGCGGAGTAAGGGGAACAGTATTCTTCCCATGCAACGGGGATGCGTGGTTCTGCAAAGCAGGCCGAGCGTTATCATGCAGAAGATGGGCAAAGATTCATCCGCTTGTCCGCAAAAACTCATCTCATCCGCAAAACAGACGGCTTATAGTGGTGTGGCTGGCTATGCCCTTTCCGAGTGATGCTGAAGTTTTATGCAGCGAAACAAACGCCGGAGCCGCGGCACCTCTCGTAGAAGACAGTCGCTCAAACTCGATCTTTTAACGATCGCAATATGCTTTTCAATATAAGCGATCGGACACCTATTTGAATACTACTGCTGATAACTCTGAGATAGTCCTAAAATGCAGTGATGGTCCGTGGGCGGCAGATAAAGTATTCGGGCGTTAATCAATCCTGTCTGGAAGATGCGCCCTGATATGACATCCACTTAGGATCGTAGTGGCGTATTGAATGCGTATGTGGCCTATACAATGAATCGCGGTGTCCAGCCGATATACAAGCCAGTGCTTTTATCCTCGCATACGAGTCTATTACCGAAAATCGACCTTGTATGAATAACAGGCTCAATTGAACTAGGAGGATACGGATCCGGGATTCGATCTCGTGATCATGCTGGGTGATATTGCGCCTTTTGCCACAACGCCATCTTCGTTCGACTCAATTATATGCTATACAAACCGTAATTGTGATGTCCATCTTGATAATGAGGGAATAAGTAGTTAATAACCAGTAATCTGGGACCTGGTACTACAGCTGAATGATGAAAGACACTTCTTCGACCACTTACTTCTGAAAGTAGAGGTCGAGGGAGTCACCTAAAAAGTATGGGTAAAGCCTTGTCTAGCAGCTGTGCTAAGCTGTCTTCAGCGCTGTTGCCCCCTATCTCAGCTCTAAAATAGTCTTTAACATCTGAAAAGCATTTTTTGCAATTGAGCCTCATTCCTCATTAAAGATCTTTAGAAAACAAAGCAAAATCTTCCTCAATCGGAGCCAGGCACGTCACGTAACAACTGTACATTCATCCAAGGACCTTTTTTGGACGTCGATGCCAATTCAATCAAACTTCAATGACCTGTGAACTCTTCGATGTTGCGCTTGGCACATGTCACAACCCCTCGGCCCCCCTTGTCAAATTGACAAGGAATCACTGATCAAAAAATATTCCACAGGGAATGCTATCATTAAAGAACTGCCCCTTTTTAACGAACCTACTTCCTCTATAAAGTTGGTGAGGAAAAAGACGGAAGATTGGTGATGCCCTTGGATTGCGCCACGCATCCAAATGGCAGTTAGGATTCAATATGTATTTGCTAGATCGCTTTTATTACTACATATCTTATAGAACGCAAGCTCAATGTAAAATCCAGGAGCATGATGTGTAAAGATTATCGTGTGCACAAGCATTTTCGACTACTAACAAGGGAAGGATCCCAAGTCGAAGTGGCCATTTGAAATGAGACCTATACTGATAGACGTATTTTTCGATGCTGTTTTCAAATCAAATATTCGAAATCTGCCAAACATTCCTCTGAGCGAAGTTATGGAGGTGGTCTCCGGCGAGCGCTCAACAGGGGAAAGCACAAAAGCCGTGGTCGCCGGCAGC